TCCAATAAGCTTCAAGGACTTCTGGAGACCGCCGAAAGTGGTCTTAAAAGTAAGTCGGTTGCTACTTCAGCTCCTACCACTATCCCTGTTTTGGCTATCGGGCAAGGCAAAGGGAAGCGGAGGAAGCACCCTTCGAAGGGTACCAAGGGAAAGTCCCTTGAAGGCTCCTCATCTAGAACCAAAAGTGGTTCTATCATTCCTTCTGCCATCCCTAAGGATGCTGAATGCTTCTACTGTCAGCATAAGGGGCACTGGAAGCAAAACTGCCCTAAGTACTTGCAGGATGTCAAGGATGGGAAAGTGAAACCATCCCATGCAGGTATTTACACTATATTGTCTAATAACTCACCATATTCTAACTCTTGGGTGCTTGATACAGGATGTGGTATTCACATATGTTCTGATTTGCAGGGCCTAAGAAGAAGTGAGGATGTGGAGCACGAGAAGATAAACCTGATCATGGGGAATAGGAAGGCTTCACCTGTTTCCAAGATTGGAGTTTATACTTTGTTGCTAGATAGTGGGTTAAAGTTAGATTTAAATAAATGTGTATACTCGTCAGAAATGGGGAGGAATATTATTTCCTTTCATGCTTTATATAAACAAGGTTTTACCTTTTCTTTTGATAATGAAGTTGGTAGTATTAATGCTTTCTTTAATAATGTTCTTTATTTTAAAGCATTATCTTGTGATGGTGTGTATGAAGCTGTATCAATTGTCGATAATTTAGGAAATAATGTATTGTGTATTGATTCTTCTACTAGCTTGGATAAAGCATCTTTGTGGCATTGTCGTCTTGGACATGTAAACAAGAAACACATAGGCCAGCTCCAAATGGATGGAGTCTTGGAGTCGTTCGACCTTAAGTCGGATGATAGTTGTGAATCTTGTCTACTTGGAAAAATGACAAAATCACCCTTCACTGGTACTTGTGCAAGGGGTGAGGGTTTGTTGGACCTTATGCATACTGATGTGTGTGGACCACTCAAAACCGCCACAAGGGATGCTAGTCGCTATTATGTGACTTTTATTGATGATTTTAGTAGATATGGTTATGTCTACTTAATCAAACATAAGTCAGAAACTTTTGAAAGGTTTAAAGAGTTTAAACAGGAAGTAGAAAGTCAATTGGGCAGGAACATTAAGATGCTTCGATCCGATCGAGGAGGTGAGTATCTTAGCACTGAGTTCTTCGGCTATCTTAAGGAGTGTGGGATTGTCTCACAAATGACACCTCCCAGGACACCACAGCTGAATGGTGTGGCTGAGAGGCGTAATAGAACTGTGTTGGACAAGGTTCGCTCTATGATGAGTCGAGCTTCGCTACCAATCTCTTTTTGGGGGTATGCCTTAGAGACTGACGCCCACATCCTTAATTTAGTCCCTACAAAGAAGGTTGCCAAAACACCTCATGAGATGTGGACTGGGAAAGTTCCAAATTTGGACCACATCAAGATTTGGGGTTGCGAGGCTTTCGTGAGGTGCGAGACTCATAATAAGCTCGAACCTTGAAGTGAAAGGTGTATTTTCATCGGCTACCCACAAAAATCCTTTGGTTACCTCTTCTACAGACCCAGTAAGAGTGTGGTCTTTGTGGCAAGGAGAGGGGTCTTTCGAGAGAGAGAATTTATAAGCCAAGGAGTGTTATTTTTCTCAAAACCCAACACCTAATCCTTCAAGGATTGTCCGGAAAGCATGGTGGTACTTACACCATGAGCAGGGATTGGTTGTACGTTGTGTACAATATCTTTTCTGTAAGAAAGAACGTTGTTGATCTGACCGAGGTGCTCTGGCAGAACTTTCGGAAGTTCGCCATCAAAACAAAGCCCAAAGAGATCTCAAGTCAAAGATTTGGGCTCTGACGCTTCAACAGCTGTACTTATAGGTTACTGAACCAATCTGCCTTCGGACCTATCTGTTGTAGATCCATCTGACTCACCATATTTCAAACATCATCTTGAGACTTTGATTGTGTATGATCCTACGCAATTTACCCCAGTCTCGGATGATCAGCCTTCGGATGTAAACAAACCATTTTGTATTGGTGGCCGTAAGAAGAAAATGGCAAAACGAAAGGCGTATCCCTCAAAAGAAGATCGAAAGCCAGTGGATTCTCACAACAGGATTCATAGATTGGCATTCGATCTGACTCTGGATCACCGCCTACCCCTCCCGTCTAATCTTCTGAAGTACTCTTCGGAGTTTCAATATCACATGCACACACTCACGGGGAGTCTTCACATACTCTACCCCCATCTTCCCAAAAAGATGGTGCTGGCATTGAAAATAGTCCCTTGAAACCCCCCTGGGACACAGCCACGAGTCTTTTCGGAAATCCCATTTGATTCTACACATACACAATCTGGGGCCCCTGCCTCTGATTCCAAAGTTTTTCTGAAGCTGGCGCAGCCCCTCCTACTTGAAAAGCCCTAACCGTTCTAATACCTGCTTCGGGTAAAGGACGATCAGGTATTTTTGAGAAAGACTAGTTTTGTTTTTTTGATAGGGGTCAATCTAGACATTCGGAGCTAACAAGAGCACAAGTGGAGGATAAGATTATTTTCATACTTCAAATATCTCTTCAAATTTGGCTTCCATTCGCTTTTCCATCTGATGAAGAGACTGATCAAGTGTTGCATCCTTCCAAAGAACCTCGAAAAACCACTCCAGGAGATGTTCCCGATCCTACAATTGTTTCGGATGATCCTCCTCTGACGTTCACAAGTGATAAATCTCCCACGCCTCCCTCCGACGAAGTTCATTCAGAAGATGTTATGTTTGAAGATGACATCACATCTGTGGGTGCTATTCTGATTCTCACGTCCTTCAACATGTTACAGAAGCCCTCCTCCTCCAAACCAACATGTGATTTCGGTCTTTTTTCCTCCTCCAGAGAATCCAAAGAAGAAGAAGGAGTAGATGTTGATGCCCACAGGAAATCAAGGCAACGAAGATCCAGTCAATCTAGTTGATAATCCTAAGCCTTCAGAACTTAAAAATGATGCCAATGACAATGACGATGATAAGAAGTCTGAGAGTTCTACCTCAGATACAGGATCTTCAGATGAAAGCATTGCATATCCCTTTTCCTTGAGACAATGTTGCATCTGTTGTCTCTAAATGTCACTTCCACGACAAGACCGTTGCAAAACTTGATTCCAAGATTGATCAGAAGGTTACAAGTCTTGACTCCAAGCTAGAGCTCATTCTCAAATCTCTTTCAGAGATCAAAGATGTTGCCCCCTCCGAAATCGATCGAGAACATCGACTCAACCAACTCATTTCCCCTAATTCAAGCACACTCTTGAAGAAGTCGAACATAAGTATAACGACGGCCTCGATCTCCACCACCACCACCACTATGATTAATATTCATGACAACATGATTAGTGCTACCCACAAACTCATCAAGAAGACTCATGTTCTTCATGAGAAACAAATTCAAAGGCTAGAAAAGGATATTCGAAAAAAGGACGAAATGAATATGATTATGCAACAGGTTCTTATCAAGCTGATCCGATCCACCTGGAATATTGTCAATGTTCTGAACTATGAATTCGATGAGATGCTCGTCATTACTGATGAAACACTTGCCCATATTAAAGCTCAAGCTCCCACAGCTGAAGCTTATGATTCTAACTCCAAACAAATCAATATGAGCTTTCAAAGAGTGTTCAAACGATTGAGTGAACTTCAACGTGAAAACAGACTTGCATCGGATGCAGGGCCTTCCAATGCAAGAGGGGGAGAAGGAGCTAGTGAAAGAGAAAGGTGGATTCAATGGAAACCTGTATCGGATTTTTTTATCCGAGATGAATCGTCTGATGAAGAAATACTCAAGGTTGAAACTCTTGAATCTCTTGAGTTAGGTGATGAAGAAGATGAACACCTGGCTGAAAATGTTGTTTTAGCACTTCAAGTTATTAAGGAACAACCTATGAAGGTCCTTTCGGATGCAGATAAGTTGAAATGGTCCTCGGTTATGTGGCCATCATCTTTAAAAGAAATCCTCAGACGAAGCCAAGATATGGAAAAAATTAAGACAAAGCTAACCGTCTAGGAATTCCGAGCTACTCAATCTATGCTTCCACCAATCCATGCTCTGACGATCACTCAAATCAATGTAGGTTCTCCAACTCGGAAAACTGATGATCTCCCTGAAGTGCCTCTTCATCCTGTTTAACCAGAATTTATCATCACCGAATCCGGTCAACAAATCATCTTTGGCATGAATGCACCAAAGCCAAACAGATTGCTTGCGATTCGGATAGCCTAGTAAAGACGTTGAAAAAGTCTGATGACTATTCTCAAGAACAAATCGATCAAGCTTTGGAAGAAAGCATTCAGATTCAAGAGCTAAAAGACAATACGAATCCGATGATGGGCATATCTCCTCTTTTCCGAGAAGGAATTATTCACGACATACACTTTGTGCCCTTCATGTATAATGGTCTTCCAACACACGATGCCGTTCAACTTGATCTGCCAATCTTTCCTCACGGTCACTTCTACATCAAGTACGCTCCTATTCATCCAAATGATGATCCTTAAGTAATCATCAGGACAGAGCGTGATAGATTGAGAACCTTTTACTCCGTCAACACACGACCCCAAAAGGTAGTGTGGTCTCGGAAGAGGATTACGAACACCATTCGATACGGTAACAAGGTTCAAAGCAAGTTTCATCTTAACTGTATGATGTACAAATATTATGTCTCTCGGAACAAAGAATAACCCCTCAACATCACAGATGCCGACTTTCTTTCAATCAATCCATATTACATTCTCACCATTGTTGCTTAATTTCGAGATCGCCAATCAAGTGACTCGAGCATCAGAGCTTACAGTGCTGCAATCAATTTCTTGAAGGACTACATTGCTGAGTTCTAAAAGGTCCAACATTAAACACTACAAAAAAAGCCTTTTACGACGCGCAATGTGTGTCGTAAAACAATTGAAATGAAGAATGCAACACTTGCATTTGCAGCATCTTATCTCTTTCAGCTTGAGCTTTCTTTTCCTCTTCTAACTCCAGAGCTATTTGCTTTCATCAACCCTGTAAACACAACACAAAATCACTTGTCATTTTCATTCTACTTTTAAAATTAATTCTTATTATAGGACATTCTACTTTTAAAATTAATCCGTATTTGATGATACATGCTTTCCACATGGCACAACAACATCATCCTTCCACTTAATGTGTTCAGACTCATTAGGGATCTTCTTCCCAAGTTCTTTAGTCGAGTCCTTCCCTTTTGGAGGTTTGTCCATATATATATATATATATATATATATATATATATATATATATATATATATATATATATATATATAATAAAAAGGACAAATAAATAAGTTAATTACTAAAACACACCATTTATTTCACATATAAGTATAACTGACCTTGGCCAACCAGATTTTTCTTGTCAATAAAACAATATTGAGCACTTTTTCTCACCAAAACAGCAAAATAAATCCCTTTTCCAAACTACAAACATAGAAAAAAGATTACTTTCTTGATCAATATATAATACATTAATGGATTGATTAATAGAGGGAGAGAGAAAGAGAGGATGAGGAGGGGGACCATGTAAACGGTTGTCGGAGCTTCAGGGGGAGCTATTCGCAATCCTTGGCTTAAAATACCAACATAGTTTGTCAAACGATAACCTATTAAGAACAATAGATTTCATTAACATCCATGCAAAAGACATTAATTCCCTTCTCATCTTGCTTGAATGATATAACTTAACAGAAAGGGTTTGAAGCTACAATACCATGCCAAAGGAGAATCTCTTCCTCGGCTTCCATGTCAGCAATCTTTTCTTGAAGACTAAAGAAATAAGAGGAAAAGGTATAAATTACATTGCTATTTCCTGTAATTTTCTATTATAATAAAAGACTTGAAAACCATAAATAATATCAGAATAAAACCTTTGCATGTCAATCTTTATATCAATTATCCGATTTTCTGCTTCCATGGCTTCCTTCAACCTATCTTCACTCAAGTTTGTGGTTTCTTCAAATTTCGTTTGTGTTTCACTAATTTCCTGTTCTAGTGTACTAACATTTTCCTGCAAGTGTTTAGATTCCATGAAATACAATAAATCAAAATACAAGAGGGTATAATCGTCAAAAGAGGATCAAAAACTAACCTGGAATTTCACATTATCAGCAGTAAGGTTTTCTACTTTCTCATTGTGAGTAGCAACAAGGTGCTCGAGTTCTATCAAACTCTCATTGTCTTTCAACTATGAAAACTTCTTGTAACTCAAGTGCGCAATCCTACATTTTACAAAGTACAAACAAGGCCTCCTAGCAAGTTTTTCCCTACAACCAGAGTACAATGTCAATTTCATGTCAGATATTATAAAAATACAAAATAAACAAATCAACAAACATATGACTTCATTAGACAAGGAATCAGAAAAAAGTTTACCTGTAAAATTCAGCAAATAGATCTTTATCACTGATGTAGGCAAGCAACTTTACTACCTGCAAATTAGTTCAAAAACTCAATCACTTCTGCTTACAATTTGCTGCACAGGAGACTTTCGATGATGATGAGGGCATTTACGTCTTTTGAGCAAGCAAAATTTTAACAAACCTTCTCAAGCGTGTCCTCAATGGCTTCATCGCTCAATTTCTCACTTCCACCTTTTTAAGAATATTATCACAAAATGTAGCAAGTAACTCTGCCCTTGAACTTCCAGCAACGCCCTTGTTGCAGTTAATTTAAAATGCCTCTTTAAGAGCCTAGAGGGGAATTCATTCAAAAGTAAGACCAAGTAATTTTGAATGACAGGAATGGTTTATTTTGATGAAATTACTATACTAACCTTGTGGAAAAGAGTATGGTTCACGAAACAGTCATTTACATATGCCAGGTACTTGTCATGAAGCTCAATAACTTTTCTAACAAAAACCTGGAGGAAAGAAAGTAAACAGATATAAATAAATAAATAAATAAATTACTAATTTATGCAAATTTAATGTTCTTGTGATTTTACCTGTTCTTGTAACCCAACCACATCTCTCTTTTCCGCCTGCAAAAAACAATAAGTTCAAAGTTATTCATCATTGCAACTTTATTTATAAAATACAATTCTGTAATAGGAAGATATGAAAGTAAGATAATGTAACAAACAAATAAATCAAAGTAAGTTGCTATAGTATCAAAAACATATACTTCACCATCATTTAGCAAGTGTGATCTGCTTCTAAATGGTTTTTTTTCACTTAATGGGCTTAATGGGTGCAAGACTTAATCCGGATATCTGATAGGCTTTGCCTATATATGAGTGTTTCTTTTACTTAAAACAAAAAGAATGACTTAACAAAGATTTTTCCTATTAAGTCTCGATTGTTTCCAAATATGCCCTCAACCCCTCATTTATTTTTTCCTTCCATTTACCCAAGTGTGTAATCACATTCGACAAACATCATTTATCCAGGGGAAAAAAAGAAACATGATTGTGAATCAACATTAGTATATAGTATGTACAAACCTTCTTGGTACTTGCTGCATATTTAGCTTGTTTAACCAAAGTTGTGCCTTCAGCAGTGACATGTTGTAGAAGATAGGAACACATGACACAAGATTAATATATATATATATATATATATATATATATATATATATATATATATATATATATATATATATATATATATATATATATATATATATATATATATATATAAAGCCAAGGTGTAATGGGCTCCTACTTAAAAAATGAGGTTCGTTTCTATTGTACAAACCTGCTTAAATCATGTGACATAAAAGGAAAATATCAACTTTTCATTCAGATGATGCACTACTACTCAACAACTACAACCTGGTATCATATCTAGTAATTTAAAAAAGCAACATCAAGTCAAAGACAAAGATTACTAGTGAAAATTACTTGAATGTTAGGTCAATCTTTGGAACAAAGAAGAAATGTCAGGTCAATCTTTCGAACAATGAAGAAATGAGGAACCATTGATGATAAATTGGTCTGTTGACCTGTCTTCCCTCCATTGATAGTTTTTAAACACAACAAACCAATAAGCAACTCCATCATTCCTTAAAGTCTTGATCTTCTGTTGGTCTGTTGATAGTTTTTAAACACATCAGATACAAAATCTTCACTGTCTAAACACAAAGCCCTAATTTCATCTTACGTCAATTGCACAATTATGTTGTTGAATGAAACGAAAGCGGAAATATAATGAAGTTATATCATAAAATACATATTAAATCGACCTTACGCAAAGCATGGCGACGTTCCTTTTCTTCTTAGAGTTAACGATCGAAATCTTCTTAGGGCATCAACGTCTCTGAATGGAAACTGATGACCTCCGACAAAATTTGTCACAGATTGCTCAAAATTGTTGCCCAAATCACATTGATAGAGACCTAGAATAGAGGAGTAACATATGGACCTATCCTCTTACGTCAATCGAAAGACGATTGTATGGAAGCCACCGTCGTCACCGGTGTCGCCTTCACTAAAATTGCAACAATGAGATATGATTGTTTCTACTGGAAGGGGCGAGGAGGTGTGGTAATTGCAAAATAGGGTCTTCGCTTAAAGGATAAACATTGCAGAGTAAATTGTTGGAGGAGAAGATGTCGGGACACCAATTGCAGAGATTCGTACACCAAAATGGCTCTGTGCGATTTTACGAGAGATAAGGCGATCCAGAGGAGAGAGTGCATAAGCAGGGCTCAGATCAAGGAATTAATAAACATCTTGAGTTTTAGACAACCTCGAGAAAGGAACATGAACAAATAAAATGATTCAGTGAGTCAACTGATTGATTTCCCCCTTTGAAACTCTTGGAGACCTAATGAATATGAAAATGGTGATGATATTAGGTGTTTTTTGGGTATTGATAAGTGAGAGAAAACAACTATGGAAATAAGGCAGAGGATAAAATGGCGGCCATTCAAACTTTTGGGATTATTATTTCCCCCCAAGCTGCGAAAAAGAAAACGCACCTTTCATTAAATAAAATATAAAGCGACATCTCTACACGACACTCATTTAAACATAGGTGCCCTCCATGTTTTTAATTTTTTTTATTGGACACTAATTTTAGGGCACGCAAAAATGTGTGTCCTCTATCCTTCATTTTTTTTAAAACGGGCGTTATTTTTAGAACGCACAAAAATGTGCATCGTAAATCACTGCGTGTCATTGTTTGCGCGTCATTAAAGGGCAGTTTTCTACTAGTGAAAGTCTCTCATCTGTTTGGAACCAAGAACGTTTTGGAAAAAATCACTACCGAACTACCTTAAGCACAGATCTTGGCAGATGGCCCCATTGAAGAACTAGAACTCGGCTATGTCTATCTCAAAAAGAAGACCAACCAAAAAGAATTTTTTAAATTTATTGACAAGCATCATGTTCCAACAAAGATCCTTCAGAAGTTCATTTCCATCCCTGCAAAAAGTGATTCTCCTGAGCATGTCAAGAAGAAGTTCATCGAACATCTCAAATGGTATTTGGAAGTCTGAAGTTGGCTACACAGGACCTATCTCTTTGTGTTTGATGAAGCCAACTGAGGAGTTGATTGATTGCTAAGTTAATTTGGGGGAGATTGTTGACATATAAAAGTTAACCTATAGCAATCCGAAGCCCAACCAAAACCGAAGTCGAAGTGCATTCCGAGATGTGAAGGATTCTGAAGTCAAGCTTCTTCTGAGATGAAGACTTATCCAAGAAATTCCAAGTTTCTAGCGTTATTGAGTTTGTATCAACATTTAATGCTTCTTGTCGTTTTTATTGATTATACAGTTCATGGGACAAAATCGAGGAAATCCTGTGTGTCAGCTTTTCTGACTTATCAAATTTACATTCTCCATGCAATTCTTGTATTTTGTCTTATTGTCTCTCCTTTCCTATTTAAGGAGATGATTTATCCATGCATTTTAACCCTTTTTTGAAGTAAGGAGATGATTTATCCATGCATTTTAACCCTTTTTTGAAGTAATATTCTCCTTCACATCAAATACAAATATCTTGCAAGTCAAATCTCTTTCCCCTTTTATCTTACTTAAATATTTTGTTGAATACTTTTTTGATCTTCATACTTCAAGAAAAGACCGGTTTACCAGACTTGACCGGACCAATATATTATCAGCAGACATTGATCTTAAGTGAAATCAAGGTTTGAGTTTTCAAACCTTGTCCGTACATTAAGTATTGTATTTTCATAGATGAGACACGATTCATCAACACAATGAATAATCTTCGGCTAGCCCCGACCTATAATCGTTAAATATTAAGTGAGCGGGAAAGATATGTATATATCTATATGATATTGAAACTCTAACCAGTGGTTGCTAGCTACAACGTAATGGCAAGTCGAAGAAGGCACAACTTCTAAACACATTTGTGATGTCCGGTGAAGGGTCGTGGTTTTTGGGGAACTCTCAACAGCCATAGCTCGATTATAGGAACTCATCCTAACATTATTAAACTAAAACTAACTATCTTGGGCTACTATTAGGAAATAACCTAAGAAAGTAGTGATAGTACACTCTCTCAAACTCTCTCGATTTGCATGCCACTTCCCCCCGGCGTCTCTCAAAGTTTCAGACTCCCGATTTCCTACCCTACAACAACGGGGTCACGTTTTCAGGAGAGTTTATGACCACATTTTATAAACCTTTTTTTGGGGGGGGGGGTGGGAATACATGTTAAAATACAACTATTTCATGGTTATTCCTAATCGTAGAATATTAGTTAGATAATTATGCTCATAACATTAGGTTGATATTATGCCCGGTAGATACTCTGCCCAACTTTTAAAGATAATATTATGCCTAGTTGCTATATTAACTCACACTGATAGAAAATATCACACATTGTCATTACGATGGCCACTTACCATGAAGCGTTGATACACTAGTTGTTATTATCGCTAACCTTTGGATAAGCTTAGTACCTAGTGGTTACTCTACCTAAATACCTGACTACGCAAAATACTCAAACCTGAATATATATATATATATATACATATATATATATATATATATATATATATATATATATATATATATATATATATATATATATATATATAAGATAAATGAAAAATATATAATCAGTATCTCACATGAATAAAATGAGGAATAACAACATGACCAACCATTTCATGCTTCCCACAACAAGTGGTTAGATGAGACACGATTTATCAACACGTTGAATAATCTCCGACTAGCCCCCAACCTATAATCATTAAATCATAGGTGAGGGGGAAAGATATGTGTAGATCTATAAGAAAATTAACACTCCTACCTGTGGTCGCTAGCTACTACCTCACGCCAAGTCAAAGCAAGCATAACTTTCTAAACACTTTTGCGATGTCTGATGAAGCGTCGTAGTTTTCAGGGAACTCTCAACAGTCATAGCTCGATTATAGGAACTCATCCTAACAATGTTAAACTAAAAATAACTATCTTAGATTAATATTAGGAAATAACCTAAGAAAGTAGTGATAGTACACTCAACTCGAAGGAGCAAGCACATGATAACTAAGAAAACTAAACAACTACAACACGTTTTACAATAATAAAACATGTGAACTCAGCAACATTATGCTGACTTTCAAACCACATGTATTCTCAGGAGAATGATCCTGGAAGACAATGGAAGTAATCCCAGTGTTGCAGCAAGAAGTTTATGTGTTATGTTATTGTATTTTGATTTTGTGACATACGTGTATCTCTAAAACCTATGTACTATATTTTATTTAATGAAGAAAAAGTAACATGGCATGATATTCCGATATATTATTCAATGTATGTCTTTGGCTTGAGATCGAACAATACAACGTCTCATAGTCTGGCGTTTCCACCACTCGGCTGGGGGTGTGACACTTTGACTCGTCGGTACATCAAAACAAGCAACTCTTCACTTAATTATCCAACCAATTCTTTGCATCAAGAATAAACCACTTTGATGTTGAGGGTCACTTTCATGTATCAACAATTTCCATCTAAGTGATCTCGCAACTATCTTGTTCACTTGACAAGTTTGAGAAATTGGATAAGGAGCCACCAGAACATCCTTCCAATGAACACCCATTTGTATCCTTTTTCGATTTCATAATTCACTTCATTGGTAGTGAATTTGATATTTATTTAAGCTTGAGGAAGTATTCCAACTATTTTTTGTTGCACAGATGAAATGATTTTCCAGGGAGGAAGATCTTTTAAGCATCTTTGGATGTTTTGGAAATTATGCCAACATCACGAGTGCTGGTAGTTCCGCAGTTCATTTCCTGAATGCCTTATGTGATCATTCTTCGATAGTCTAATGCAGGTAGATCAACTTGAGCAACAAGTATTAGATGAATTTTGGTGTATATACTCGCGAAGTCAAATACAAGATACCTAAGAACGTTACAAGCTCTCTTATATGTGGGCTTCATCTTATGATGCTTATCAATCTTTAAGCTGATCATTGTGCAAATCAAGAAGATTTCTTCGAGATTCATCAACACAAAGTCTTCCTAAGTTCTAAAGTACTCTTTCCCAAATCTCACAACAATATATTTATAGAACGTTGCGTTCTTGAATGACTAAGGCTTGTAAGTC